ACCTTTTTCTGTTATAAAGCTGACATAGACCTTGGATACAGAAGATAGCATCCTAAGTTGAGGGTGATGAAGAATAACGGCGATCGAGAAGGCTGTAGACAGGTATAGCAGATGTTTCCTAGTAGTAGAGACTGCTAGTGAATGCCTGCTTTTTTAGAGGACCTTATCTGTCTGCTTTTATTTTATAGAATTAAAAAAAACATTAATTTTCTTAAAAATAATAATGAGATGCAAATGATATTCATGAGTGTGATGTAGCGTGAACGTAATGATTCATCATGGCAGCTCCCTTTGAACTAGAGTGGAAGAACCCTTTCAGAACCTTCCAGAGCACCTAGAGACTCAAAAATTGGTACAGATTTTTTGGGAAGAACCCATTATGCAACTATACCGAGTTTCAGGTTACTGGCATTAGTAATAAAAAGTTATAAGAGGTGGTGCTAGGGCAACTCAACTGAAACCAACTATATAATCTATCATCTTTTATAATTTTGTTCCTTCCATTTTTAAATTTATTTAGTTTGTTACTCAATGTGTCACAGAAACTGTTGAGGTACAGTATAGTACATGTGAATTATTAATTTTAAAGGAAATCTATTTGTTTTATTATGCTGTATACTCACCTAGTTATATTCTCTGAATGGAGTGTTGAATCTGATTCGTCGATTAAGTTGTAGGGTCCCCAGTTATGAAGCTTTGTTGCTCTTGATTACAGAGTTTTGTAATGACATTGATCCAAGACTTTGTAGAGAAGCAATGAAAGCACTAGCCATTACAAATGCAGGTACATGTACATCATGTATAATTATATCCCTTCTCTTTTGGTGTCTCAATTCCTCATAATCTATTACATGTCTCTATGTCTGTCTTTCTGTCTCTCTCTTAGTACATGCACCCTTTCTCAATTGCATTGTACATAATTTCACTTTTATCTGTATAATTATATAGTTACAAATAATGGAAGAGGGTGTATATGTACTAAGGTGTGTGGCTTATTGAATGATGATGATCAGTCTGTTTTGTACATTTACATGTACATCAAGCTAATTCATTCATTGGGACTCTCATGGAAAGAAAGATACTGTACATATATACAGTAGAATGACCTTATACGTACATGTGTACATGCATGTACATGTAAGTGATGTCTTGTATTACATACATACATGTATATCTATATGATGTTTATCTTGCATGCACAAATACTATCTGATATTAACAATGTACATGTGTATCCTACTTTCCCTCTCCTCTCTTCCTCTCTCCCTCTTGTAGTACCATACCTTATTCAATGGACCCCAGTGTTACTCTATTATTAGAGGATGCTGCATTCATAAAGACATGCGGTATGGTAACTGATGGATCCCTTCAGGTATGTTGTCTCTCTAATTCTACTTGGCTGGTTGAAAGGTTTCTACTCCAGACTCTGGACCAGAAACGAATCTTGCACCTTTGTTATGTGAAGAGTGATCATGAT